GGAACACAGGGGGCACAGTGCACAGAACACGTGCTGCCTTCCTCCCTTCCTACAGCTGGGAAAGTTAAACAGGGAGATCTGAACGTGGAAAGAATTGCTTACTCCCTTTTTCATTCTCTCCTGCATTTGGGCTTTTATAAAATCTGAATCTGGCACTCCCAGTTCTCATTGACTTTTAGGAAACAGGATATTTTAGTAGCTTGGAATGAGATGAAATGCTTGCAAAGCCCATATGTTGCTTGTTTTAGGGAAAGGGTCAGGAAGGTTTTAGAAAGTATTTAAGTATTTGGTTTACACGATTAGAATAGATTGTCTGGAATGAAGTCCATTACCCGAGGTGATTTTTGCCTCGCAGTTTTGGTTTTCATTGCAGTTCTTTGGGGTATGAGGTAGGTGTTCTGGCAGCACAGCACCCCAGCACAGTCAAAGTTAAGGGCTGTGAATAAATACTGTAGCTGGGATCTGGCCACTGCCGGAACTACAGATACCTGCTGGGCTGTGAGCTGCAATCTGGGAAATGCCTCCCGGTACAGCAGGTGGTTGCCAAGTCTTCTGATGCCAGTCTGTGGAATCCCAGCAGCTCCTTTCTTAGAAATGGGCCTTTTCCAGTCTCCATAGGCAAAGCTTTTGAGTTGGATTATGTTTCTTGAGAGCTGCAGCCTGATACTAACTCATTTTAGGTGTGTTTTCAGCCATCTACAGCTTGGAATTTAATTGTTCTGTCCTCAGTTTTTCATGAGGTGTGATCCTTCCATGATCATTGATTATGGAAAACAGGGTCCTTTTTTTTTTTTTTTTTTTTTTGGAAGGTATTCCCATGAGACTGAAGGTTTTTCTGTTCTGAAGGTCATTGTGAAAGAAACAAACTTTGCTGCCTGATGGTTCAGTTGCTGCTCTGGGTGCCACACTTGTACCACCCAACTATCACTGCTGGGTCCAAAGCCCATCTTACCATTCAGCTTTTGCTGTGCATTGTTGATATTTTTATATGAATTATGAAGCATCCTTTGATATCTGGCATTTCCCCTTGTGATCCTCTGTTCCTTTTTATGAGTACTTGCCCCCTCACTTCAAAAGCAGTTCATCACCTTCCTGCAGACAGTTCTTAACCAGTTTGGAACTGTCAGGCATTCCTGGGCCTGTTTTATGTGAGTTACTCTCCAAAAACATTCAAAAAGCGGCCATAATGTGCACAGACCTCAAATCCCCTTCACCTGCACGTGAAAGATCTCCTCATCACATGCTGACTTCTTCTGTGGACTTACTGACTAAAAGAGCAACTGAAATGAAGAGAATGATTAAACCTGCCCTATCCTGAGCTGTTGCAGTGGGATCATCCTAAGTTGTCTGGAAGTTATTGTATGCTGGAGAAAAATATCTTTGGCATTGAAGCAGTACTGAAGCAGTGGGTTTGACTTCAGCTGTGGAGGGACAGCCTGGAGCCCTGTGCTTGGCCTCACCAGGACCGTGCAGTCCTTCTGCAGCACCAAATCACCTCATTGCTTCCTTTTGGGGAGGAGGAAAGCTGCTTCTGGTGACAGTTCAAAAGGAAGATAATTGGCATGGGGATAGTTAATGCAAGTTGCCATTCCTTAACATCAGAGATTCGCTAAAGTACTAATAATTACTGTTAATATCTTCCAGTGGAAACTTTCTGAGTAAACGAGCACTGGTTGAGGCAGCATTTAACGGCCGCCGCTGGCATGATCAGAATGCAAATAAGTGTTATTAGCCTAATGATTTTGCTGTCACCACGGTGTGCAGCAGTAGTGTTGTGAATATGTCATGCAGTACCCGTGAATTTGGAAAGTGTGTCAAAACACAACTTCAATTAGTTTGCTCTAATTATGGCTCTAGAGAGTTCATAACTATATATCACTCCTCATTAAAAGAGATTTTCTCGTATGGATTAATACAGCACATGAAGGGGTGTTTGAGCGATTGGAGGCAGGGCTGTGCAGAGGGAGGATGCCCATGGGGTGCTGGGAGGTGCAGCAGGTCTGGAGCAGCACCAGGGTCCAGCCCCATCCCATGAGCTCCCGGTGCAGGACCAGAGCTGGGACACCTCCCAGGCAGGAACGGGCGGCTGTGCCAGGTCAGCTGTGGGTGGCAGCTTCGGTGTCCCTCAGCACAGGAGCCTGTTGGATGGTTTTGGACAGGCTCTTCACTTGAAAATAACCAAACCAGTAACAAACTTGAACAACAACAAACCCCAAACCGCAAAAGCCCTGGGAGGAACCACACTTGCTGCTAAAATAGAGATGTGGCCCGAAAGCTTTGCTCTGGTAAAGGCCAAGGAACACAGGCAGTCAGAAGCCTGTGCCAGCCTGGCCTTGGCAGAGAAGCCCTTTGGGATGCCGGGTGTCCATGCCCCTTTCCCAGAATATTTGTAGTGCCTTTTACATGCTGTCTTGTCACATTGCCTGAGCGTGTTCCAGCTTTGCAAAACAGTAAAAAGATTGTTGTGCTCACAGGTGAGAAGTTGTGGAAGGGTTAAAGTAGTAATTGTTTAAATCTTTTAGGCTTTCCTCCCAGTTCTGTGGTAATTTGATGAAGAACTTCACCCTAATTAAATATTCAAATTAGGAATAAGTGTCAGTATGGCTTCCCATTGCCTGGAATGATGATTAATTGTATTCAAAACTCTAGTGGCCGCTGTAATCTAAACCAAACCGTTGTTCTTGATTATTTGTGCAACACATTTACCGTGTTTTTGTTTTAAAATTTGAACTAGTAATTGATTTGCCATATGCCGCAGAGCTGCACATACTTCCACGATATGTGTTTAGGAACTTGGGGACTTTGTAATTGGGATTTTCTTGCTTTTCAATGGCAGCCTCTTTTTTTTGTCTTCTACAGTGCAAAATTATTTGGCTCTTACAACACATAAGGAAAATGTATTATGCAATCAACTTTGTAGGTATAAGTTATATTGATCCTGGCCAAAGTTTGCATTAATTTAAAATAAATTAGGCTTTGTTTCCCCTTTCTCCCTACAAAGTCATGCTTTTGTAAAAGGACAGGGGGAAGGGGAGACCTGATTTCCATCCAGCAGTCACTGCCCTGTGTTGTAGGCTTGCAGCTAATGTTCTTCTTGGAGATCTCTCTCTGGCTGTCCACGTGCAGCTCAGTGGGAGCAATGGAATGCCCAGTTGTCCTACCTCAGGAATGGCAAGTGGCCCCCAGGGCAGGGATGCAGGCCATTGTTTCCCAAGGAACCCTCGTTACAGCCATAGTCAAGCCCCTGGTGTCCAGGCTGGGCTGGCACTGCCCCCCAGCCCCAGGAGCAGTGGTGGGAGTGCTGCCTGCTGAGGGCAGGTCTGCATGTGTGCTCCCCGTCACCCTGGTCGTGCCCCTGCCACCACGGGATTCCTCAGTGTGTCCCTGTGAAGTGGAGAGAAAGGGGGTTCCCTGTGGAGCTGGGCAGCGAGGGCTGGGCACTCCTGCTGCTGCCACAGGCGTGTGTGTGGTCAGGTCCTGGCGGGCGAGCGACTCGTTTGCACTGCGTGTGTGGCACGTGCACCCCCTCCATCTGCTCTGTGAGTGTGTGTGAGCTGCCTGGCACGGTGGGACCCACTGGGGCTGTGCTGCAGAGATTTTTCTGCAAGCAGAGAGCTCAGAGCTGTGCTGGAAGGCTGCTGCCTGCGTTCTGGAGCCAAGGGCTGTGTTGTGGTGCTCAGGCAGTGCTGCCTTGAGCCGGCTGTGGGACAGTCCCTGCAATGCCCTGGCTGAGGGGACGTGTGTCACCTCCCTAGCGTGGCAGTGGGCTGTGCAGGAGGGCTGTCTGGAGGGCAGGGATCGGCCTCTCCTGCAGCACAAGCTGGTACAAACTTCTAAAAAATACTCTCCTTAGAAATGGCCCTTTTAAGTTGATCTGCTTTGTTTGCTTCCAGAACAATTCCTGCTGTTCTGTTTGTGGTGAAGAAAGCAGTTCCCCTACAGACCAGAGAAATTCAAAGTCTTTCTATTGGCTGTTTCGGTGCCTTGGAAAGTATTTTTGGATACTGCTATTAAAAACCAAATGAAAAGTGTGTCATGCCTACAGGCAGTGGTCTCCTGTTTTAAAGTGTGTTCATGACAAACCTGCTTCTCCAGAGACTCTCATGTGGATTGTGTTTTAAACAGCAAACTGATAGCCAAATTCAAATATATTTTCACACCATCTTTTTTTGGTTAGAAATAGCTTTGGGAAGCACAAGCAAACTCAGACTGATGCTTGCTTTTTCTTATTTTATCTGTGCTGTTCACCATCAGCTGCATCGAGGGCTAAAAATACATAGTTCTTCCCAAAATGTGTCCTGTTTTTAAAGACAGATAACTTCCAGATGATTCATGTGGTAGATAAAACCTGCTGGCTGAGGACGTGGGTTTGATGCTCTGCTGGAGAATACACAGGGCCCTGTCTCACACACAGGGACTCCAGGAGGACACAAAGGTCACCTGGTTCTCCCTCTGGCAGGAGGGTGATGCTGAGGGTCTGCCTGTGTCCGGGTGAGGTGGGAGCTGCTGCCACTGCCTCGTGCTGCACTGAACCCCTCTGTGAAGAGGGAACCTCTTCAGTATGTGTGGCAACACAGTCCAGAAGATTAATGATAACATTTTATTAAAATTCACACAGACCTGGGATCTGCATTAGAAAAATACAGATTTTAATTAAAAGCGAAAAGCCACGTGGGCTGTTCCTGGGTGCTGGCTCGAGTGGAGCTGCTGTGCCTGGCCAGGGGCAAATGCCCTGCTCAGGGTGGATGCCCTGCCAGGGCTGGATGCTCCACCATGGGTAGATGGTCACTGTTGTATCCCTCAGTTTTTGGCTGAGCCCAATGCTCAGTGGGGTGGAGGAGGCTGTTGCGTGTAGAATTTTTAGACAGTTTTGGAAGCAATGTTAATATCAATATTTGCTGCTTAACCTGACTGGAGTCATCAGGCTGGAGCGAGCTGACAGCAGCAGCATTTTCTGCTCTGTAGTAACATCATCCCCAATTCCCCTCTCTCTCCCTCAGGCATATCTCGCTGACACTCCCGGCCAGCTTTCGGGGCAAGAGTCACAGCACCCGCCTGGACCTGGAGCACCAGCACTCCAACCTGTATGCAATCTCAGGTGAGCTACCACGGCTTCTTTGCTCTTGTGGAATCAGAAGTGTAGCCAAGTACAGCAAACCTGCACGTGCAAACAACCAGGTGTGTGGTACCCATGGAACAACATCAGCTTTTGATCGGTGCCATTTAATAGTTGAGAGCAACTGGGGTGCAGAGAGACCCCAGGCAGGTGTTGCCAGCAGGAGGTGTTACTGATGCCCAGGGAGATTGCAGCCCCTGAGGAGGGATGCTGCAGCCTGCCAAGGGGCTACGTGAGAGCTCTGATGGCAAGCAACGTTGGCACATACTTTTGGAGTTAGATGTTAGGATGTAGAAGTTCTGCATTCTTTGTGAGAGCTACGTTTGCACATGCATGCTTGGTCTCTCTAGCTGCAGCTTTCACCATTCCAAACCAGTAGACAAATGCTAGAGCCAGCGATAGTTTCCAGATGTCAACATGGGAAAAGCCTTCAATTAAATTTTAGCTAATTTTTGTTTTTAACTAGTACTAATCTGCAGGGAGTTGTTTATTGAAATAGAGTGGGGAGGGTCAAGCCTGTTCCTTCCTCCATGCAGGTGCAGGTACCTGTTATTGTGTCTCACAACCATGCATTGGGTTGTTTTGGAGCTGGGGTGCTTGTGACCTGTCCCTGGCAGCTCTGCTCTGCGGGAGGAGGTCCTGGCTCCAAGTGCTCGCTTTCCAGAAGGAAGAGTGAGCTCAAAGGAAACGTAGCCAGGTTCTCTGGGCCCAGGAAGAACTGCCTCTGAGAGATGCTTTAGAGTTGTACCTCATGGACTCTATCACTCTTGGATGTGCTGAGGGCTGTGTGATCTGGGAGTTGTTCATGGACCAAAACAAAGGGACTTTTGGTCCTGCAGAGTAAAAATTGCTGGGTGCAGCTGTGGCCCAGGAGTGTGTTTCACTCCCCCCTTCTCTTAGGGGCCAGCTTATGTGCTGTGCTTTGGCTGGGTATTGCTGGGGTGCAGCAGTTTTCCTTGGAGTTACCTTTTTTTGGAGTACTGGAGTACTCCTGAACAAATATTGTGATAGGCATGGTAGAGTCACACTTAGCCACAATTTTCTCTTTGTTATGTTGTTTTTGAAAGGGGAAAAAAATATTGCCTTTAAACCTGACTCCATCAAAACGTATTGAAAGTCCAGTCCCTTCTTCTGGCTGAAGGAGATTTTAGGACAGTTTGGAAACCCAGAAAAAACAGCAATGGATTCAGTGGGCTGTGCAGTAGGTACTGCTTGTGCATAATCAGGGAAGAGAAGATGACAAAAATGTGCCATTCACAGGTTTTTGCTATTAATAGTGAGTGACACTTGTAACATGGGAACATGGCATTAATTCATGTACCATAATCAAAGGGTTGTTTAAAAGGTAATCTCTGCCTGAAACTGCAGCTTTGGGTTCCTAAAGAGATAGAATATAACAATTGCATAATTCTTGTCAGTCCTTGTTTTTCTTGTTACTCTCCTGCCCTAATAGATTTGGAAATGTAGGGGAAGGTGTGTTCCTGTGTTCACACGAGACAATCCTGCACGGAGATGGGAAGCTGTGTTTTCTCTCCTGGGAAAGCACCAAATGCCCAACAGCAGCTCTGTGTGGGTGTAACTGCAAGAGACCCTGCTCCAGGGTGTGCAGGGCTGCCTCTGCTCACTCCACAGCCTGAGGAGCCCTTTGCAAAGAGCCTGAACACTTTTCCAGATCATTACAGCCAAAGCACAAAACAGGCCTATGGAACTGGGCAGGGCATTAGTTCTCGATGTTTGCATGAGCACATTTCAAAGTATATAACTCTTATTTTTCCTCCAATTGCACATTCTCGTCCTGAAATGCTGTTATATGAGTTGTGCATATGCTGTAATGGCTATTGCAGCTGTGAGCCCTTTCCAAAGAAAGAGTCTTGTCACATGAAACATCCCGTGCATTGGCAGGATCTTCGTGCACAGCTCCTGGCCATGGCTGCCTTGTCAGCAGCTGCAATGAGGTGCTGTGACAATTCCCTTTGTGTGCTTAAACCTTGCTGAGGTGGATTAGCCCCCAGACGGTGCTGTGGAAACCATTCCCAACTTTCCTGTTCCGTTGGTGTTGTGTGCAGCCAGTCCGGTCTATCTGCAGTGCTCGCTGCAGTGCCATGGCAACGGGAGATTTAGGAGTGCCTGCCGGAGCTGTGCTGCAGGCCAGCTTTGCCAGGCCAGGCTTTGCCAGGCTGGCTTTGCCAGGCTGGCTTTGCCGTGGTGGGATGCCCGCCGGGGGGGGTGGGTGCGGCAGTGGCGAGTGGCCAGTGTGGCGGGTGAGGGGACACGGGGTCTCCGGCGGGCACAGGATTCCTCTGTGCCTGTGTGGCAGACAGGCCTGTGGGCTCCCTCTCTTGGCTCCCAGCATAGTGGAGCAGCTTCTGGGGCTGGTGAGGGAAACAAAAGGCATTGAGGACAGTCTCTTCTCTTCCAGTTTTGGTATTGCCTTAGTCTGTGGTGGGCACAGGAGGAGCTGCTCGGGAAGGGAGGGCTGGAATGAAGAGCTGCAGCGTGGTCTCACTTCACTCTCTGTAGACACCTAAGATTTTCTCAGTAGTCAATGAAAACATTTTAAGCTGGGGTTCAGCATGTTTGTGGAAGGTGACATGAATTTTGGCTGTCAGTCCTACTCTCTATCTCAAATACATTTTGGCAGAATGACCATTTCCTTCCTGGAACTGCCCATTACCCCTTGGACTGTGTAATACAGTTGTTGTTTGCACAAAACTGGAGTCAAGGAAAAAATGGTCCTGAAAGCAACAATTACAGTTTTTAACTAGCCTTTTGTCATTGCCAGTCTTGGCAACGAGACATTGGGTGACCAGAAAGTTAAGGAGGCTTCTCTTGGTGCAGTAAACTAGTAAGTCAGTCCCTGACAGGGGGCAGATAGGAAGCACTGCCCAGACCCCTCAGCAGGAGCCTGCCAAGTGCCATGGCAGTGCAGCACTGGCACTGCTGGTGTCATCCTTGTGCCCAGCACCTTCGCTGGTCCCACCTCGTGCCACATGTCCCAGACCAAAAGGCAGAATTAGTTCTAAGTTAATGTGCAGAAGGTCTGTGGGTGCTGCTGTGAGCGGGGTGCTGAGGAGCTGACAGGTTTAATGTGCAGCTGCTGGAAGAAGAATGCCTCACTCCAGACAGACCTGTCAGCAGACACGGCTCAGTATTTCACAGCACAGTCTTTTCTCATGGCCTTCAGCTTAATTAAGATGTTGTTGTGACTACATACTGCCTTCATTTCAGACTTGAGCATCTTCTGCCTGCATATTGCTTTGGCTTATCAGAGGCACAAGGACAGTGAGGGAGAGGCAGCTCTCGCAGGCAGGCACAGATAATAACATACAGGGAAAATTCCTGAATGAAGTGAAAAATTATTTATAATAATGGTACTCAAATAGAAGGGAAATAAGTCACTCTAAGGGTATATAAATTTTTATGATAGTGTATAAACAGCCATAGCTTGCCTTGTCTCCCATCTATCCCTGCAGAGAATGAGGGCAACATCTAGCATAAAGAAAAATATAATAAGAAAACGAAGAAATGAATGGGAAGAGCTGGAGGATTGATCACTCAGTGTATTTGTATATCCTGATGTAAAAGGTGCTGCTGACAGGTGGCCAGGTTCCTTCTGTATAAAACCATGTGTGTGCTGTCAGGGCGGTGTGAGCAGCCTTGTTTCGATTGATGAATTGCCTGCTTTCTTGATTAAACCTTCCGTCACTTACGAAACAAAAAACCTGTGTTTCGATGGCAGAGTGGGACATGTCAAAAAAATCTGTCTGCTTTACCTTTGTGCAGATGTTGGGCACAGACTGCCACATGTATTATTAAAATGGATGTGGCATTTACTGTGCATTATTTCTTTCCTGGGAGAAGGGACCTGTAAATTATATGCTAATAATAAGCTTTAACCCTTTCAGGAACCTGGAGATTTAGGAATGCAAATATTCCTGCAGGCCCCACTAACTGAATGGGCTCTAACACTGCAGCGCTCTGAAGTTACTAAGCATTGGGTTCCAGCACAGCGTGCTGGTGCCTCTCAGGATCTTGCCTCCATAAGTTTTCTACTCTGTAAGTGCCACTGAAACGGAAACCTTCTGGATTACAAAATCTGATTACAGGCAGAGTTGTCCTCTGGGTTGGAGCTTAGATGTCACATCCCAAAGCATCACACACTTTATCCACTGATAAAGCAATGTCCATGCTGGGATCAAGGCTGCAGCACCAGCCGTTCATTTGCTGAGGAACATTGGGTTTTGGAGCAGTCATTTGATGCAGCGATGTCTTTGCATATATTTCTTACCTTAAAGGTATTATTATGTGATTGTCTTTAACCACATTACTAACACAATTACTTGTGTATTTTTTTCTGTGAGAAGCTGGGCTGAGCACCAGGGAGGGGAAGCACGGCCGGCTGCCAGCATAGCCTGGTGTTGGCTGGAGGTGTGTGCCAGCACACCATGGAGGAGGAGGTTTCCATGGGCAGCTCTTACAGGTGCCACTTCCTCCACAGCTCTCCCTTGTTTATTTTGGAATCACACTCCAGTATTTATTACCTTAAGGAGGTAAATATTTACTTAAATGGGTGTTTATTATATTTTATATATAAATATTTATTTATGATATTTATTATTTGTTTCCCTCTTTAAGACACTTTCTATAAAGGCCAGAGCAAACTGTGGTCTGAGGGGTTGGAGGGGGAAACACTTGCAAGGGGATGCTCTGGTCCAAGTTCCACCTGCTGGGTCGCACAGGTGAACGTTCCCAACAGGAGGCCCTGGGGCAGGGCCCTGTTGGGGAGGGGGCAGAGGGGCTCAGCCTGGTGCAGCCTGGCCAGGGCACAGGGGTGAGGTGAGCCAGGGTCTGGCCATGGCACAGGGGCGAGCGAGCTGGGGTCCATGTGCAGGAGGATGGGCTGCTCCTGCAGGCACTGCAGTGAGGTTGGGCGTTCACTCTACACTGATTTCTAATCCAGCTCTCTGGAGGCAGCAGAGAGT